CTTATAGGTTTTACAAATTGCATGCGTCTTCTTTACTCATGGCGAAAAACTTCCACACCAATGGCATGTTGTAGCAAGCGTGTGTGCATCTGTCTGTGACAGTAGTCGGTTACTGGCTGTGCTGCTGTACACCTGATATGAACCATCGTGCAGCAGAGCATATGTGTAAATGTGACTGGGACAGGATTGGTTATGTGGGACTAATCGGCACCCGTGAGGTCGTGGCCGATGAAGCTGAAAACTGGCTGATTCCAGTCATCAGCCCATCTCTCCAGAATCTCTCATTCTCAGAACCAGTCAGGAGAGTGCTTGACTGATCATTTGATTTCTCCCCAAAGTCCCCCTCTCAACGGTGGTGACTGTTATCAGTCCCCTTCCTCGGTAGACGCTTGACTCTGTTTGACTGTAGCAATAACTTAAGTAACGTAAGCCTATGTAAGTCTTACGAAAAGTAGCCTACAGTAGCCTTCAGCTGCCTCCGTCTGTTGTGGGACCCTCGCCTTGTACTAGTCGCCTGAGAGTCTTCCCTCCTGACGGTTACATTAGGGTATAACATGGAGATTGGATGATACTAAGTGCTCTGGATCAGGATCATCACGCAGACAGTCATTGATAAAGATGCGTTGCTTCAGAAACAGTTTATGGTTTTATGCCTGCCACACTGTACTCCTCTTACCTTGTGTTCACAGTTAATATTTAAAAGTAGCCGGCTGTTACTTTTCTCACATTTCAGCTTGAGCCAGAGGCTTGAAGGCATGTTCGGGCATTATAGTGTAACATGGATGCTAATAAACACTTTTATGTTCACACATCTGCTTAGTGAATGCATAAATGCTGGCTCCAGACATTTTCAGGATGGTAAGTCTCCTATATTGTAACATGGATGCTAGCCAAACATGCTTTTATGGTTACAGCTCTGCTAAAGTGTATCATGAATGCTAACTACAAACATTCCCTTGTTTTGTCTGACCAACGGTCTAAAACCATGGATGTATTATTACAACTGGATACCAGACCCAAAGATGGCGCCTATTCAGAATCGCTTTACTTTCAAGTTTAGTTTAGTGTTTCCCCCACTGGCCCCTCCCGCAGGTTCCCGCTCCACCCATAGACTTAACAATACGCCAGTGATTTATGACACAGTATGTACAAACCTTGGCGGGACATTTGAGGAAACCATCTCAGGCTTTGGAAAACGCTGATCGACATTTATGGTTATAAAATTAGACCAAACAACTAATAGATTTGATTGAGAAAATAATGAACAGACTAATCAACAATGAAAATAATAGTTTTTTGCAGCCCTAATATTTATTGTAACCTCAAGATGTTTTTATATCATATATATATATTCTATGTCCAGGACAGATGAGAGGTGGTTTGATGTCAATATATTCATAAATGAGCAGGCTATTACAACCTTGCACTGTGCATATCAAATGATTAAATTAATTACTCCTTTTTTGCAACCTTATTTTACAATCTCAATGGTGTGAAATGATTTTTATGTTGAAAAACAAAAAAGTTATTGATGATTGAAATGGATTACATTGCAAATTTAAGATGGTCCCTAACTCAGTGTGTGACAGGCGCGTCAGACAGACTCAGCTCGTAGCGCTGCAAATTGTAATAGTAATAGATGTTGTCAATGAGTCGTTCCAGCCCTACAATCACATCAATATAAGTTAGTTAGTTAGTTAGACTTTATTGTCCCTGCAGATAAATTCTTTTTCACAGCACTGTGCATGATAGGGAAGACACATCATCACGTAACAGTAACGGACAGAAAACATGAGATATGACACAACAGCATCATCACATACCAGTGACCAAAACAGAATTACATGAAATACAACACAACAACACATAACGACAGTGAAAAACAACATAATAAGGAGACCCATCGTTCCTCTAGCGTATATTTACTGGAAGTTCGGGTCTTTACAATATTGTTTGAATTGTTGACTTTGTGTTTTCCTGTCATAAGTTTGATCCTGGTTTTTGTTGCAGATGAGCAGCCTGAATCCTGGAAACCCCGAAAACTGCTGAACATCCAATCAACACTACTGAATACTGGAGACTAGGTAAGAACTATCTATCTATCTATCTATCTATAAATATATAGATCTATCTTTATTGAACTCGCTGGTACAAAACAGACAACCACATCAAAGGGGAAGGCTATTTCACACACTAAAGAAACGGGGAGATCATATCTGCATCAAAGACAGTATCATAGTTTTGCGCTTCCCCAAATTGCAGTACACCATCAGCAACACTTAAACACAATGACAAGTACAAACAAATACAAAGATATACCAACAAATGAAACAGTATCAAAAAGGGGATGGCCATGTCACACATCACAAACAATTACGTTTTTTTAAAAATATGTAGGTAAATAAAGGGGGGGTGGGATCTACTTTATCAAAAAGTAGAAAAGTGTCGGTTTTTTAAAGTAAAATAGACCAGTTCCTATTTCTTCAAAGAAGTAAATAGGAAGCCAGTGTGCCGATAAATAAAATGTGGCCAAGAGATCAGCAGTGCAGCTCAGAAGGCTAGCTACCTTACTGTTAACAAACTAGCATCAGCATCAAAGCCATATTCTGACGGTGAGTTTGTGAAGACATTGAAGACATTCATGCTGATTGCAATGCAATGCAATTGATGAGAGCGCAGACGTTACAGATGTTGCTCAACTAACTACTGTATGTTCAGTTGTGGTGCTGATGACTTTTATTGTCACAGACTTGCTCCTTAAGTTGGTGACGATGGCAGACACCACAACAGCGAAAGACATTTTCAACTCTCATGTTGAAGCGCTGGACAGGGTTGGGGTTGGCTGGGCCCATTCTGTCTGCCTGGCTACAGGTAGAGAGAACGTACAGACTGCTTTTACCAGTGGCTACAGACAGAAGCATGGCTGTGCCATTGGCTCACCAGTATCTACATGGCAGAAGTAAAACGCAGAGCCCTGAACTCTTTCAGAGGAACAGCGCCGAGCCATTGGTACGGATATGTGGACCACACAATTTTAAAATGAAAACCCAGGAAGTGTAAGCCTTCACAGAACACATCAACACTGTGGACAGTAACATCAAGTTTGCACAAGACAGTGTCAGTAATAACAGCTGGGCCTTCTTGAACTGTGCATACATATCGGAGAGGACAGGAGCCTTCACATTGGAGTAGTATCAGGAAACCGGCACACAGGCCAATCATTACTTTGACTCTCAGCACACACTGGAGCATAAGTTAGGAGTTATCGGAACCCTGTATCACTGAGATTGTAACATACCAAGAAGTGCCCAGGCCAAGGAAAAGGAGAATAAACACTTAAAGGACGCACTTAAAGCTTGTGGATATCGAAACTGGACCTTTGTGAAAACAGTCACAAGATCCAGGAAGAACACCAACACCGTGGGTGTTGAGGAAAAGAAGAATAAACGCAACAACATTGTGATTCTGTACATGTCTGGAGGATCAGAGTGTCTGGATTTGGTCCGTATTTCAGTTTTGTCCGTGTGCCTGCTTGTTTCAGGTTCATCTTGGTAACTGTCTGCGTCAGGTTTTTGTTTCTGTCTATTTACGGTTTGGTCTGTATGTCTGTCTGTTTAGTCCCGTTTCCTGTTTTAGTGTAGTAATCTTCTGTCTCTGTCTTCTGCCGCATGCTTTGTTTCCTGATTATCCTAATGTGTTCCACCTGTTTTTGATCCTCCTGCTTGTATGTGTTTGTCAAGTGTCTGTTACCCGTGTGTTTTTCTACTGTTCTACTGATTTTTTGCTTACTCTGCCTGTTTGGATGTTTACATGTTGGCAAATTATTTTTTTTACTTTACCAAGCAGGTCAGTTAAGAACCAATAAGGCTTTCAAGTTCCTCACATACACTCTTAAACAAGGGTGTAAAATTAGCTTTAAATGTTACAGTTTGCTCCTCAGTCCCTCTCCAATGCCACAGACTGTTATTCCCAGCCCTCTGCATTATGCTTTCTATCTGTCCATCTCTCAGGCCATGTTCTTTCCCTCAACTCCCCAGGCCTACCATCCTCCCGCTGTCAACCAGATACCCTTGGACTTTCCCTCCTTTTCCCATCCCCTGACTGCCCCACCCATCTACACACCTGTTCCCACTTCTCTCATCAGCCCTGCCGTTACATGACCTGCTCCGCCCACTCCTCACCTTCACCTCATTGCCTCACCAGCCATTCACCATTTATACCAGTTCACTTTGTTTGTTCATTTTGAGTTCATCATAGTTGCCATGTGCCTAGATGACTTGTTGGGTTTTTCTTTGCCTCGCTTCGCTTTACCTGGACCTCTATCTGCCTACTTGCCTGTCTGCCTGCCTAACATTCTGCCTGTCTATACCTACACGTAAACTCATTTATGCTGCAATAAATCCATGAACTACACCATCTGCCTGTTCTGTCTGCGTTTGAGTCCATTGCATTACATAACCCACTGTGACACCATATAATTGTTGAAGCAAAGGGGTAATTACTATTCCCAAAAATGTAAAGCCCTGCATTTGCACCGAAATTGGCAAGATAAGGGGGTGTGAACATTCAGAGACCACCCAAAGGAAAAGCTTTTATTTTGTATCAAAATTGACTCAAGCAACTTATAAGAGTATGGCTGGTATTAAGACCTCAGGTTAGTAGAACAGCACATTGTTGGGATTTAAGGACATTTTCTGAATCTTATTCCCACCTAAGATACCTCTGATAGAAGGGTTGTGTCTAATAGCCTACATCAAAGACTCAATATTTATTGCATATAATAATGGGAATTTTAGATGACAACAAAAGTGTTCTTTTCTAACGTTAGTATTCAATGGCTAATTGATGATTAATTGTTAATCTCTCTCTCTCTCTCTCTCCAATGTCCTTTAGAAAGAAAACTTGTTCAAAGGGATCTGTCTTATATTTCTGTTTTATTTCTTAACATGGGAAAACAATTTGCATGTTTCTTCATAAAACAGGACATCACGACATCACGGAGCTGGTGGATGTTAGAGACCTTGCTCTCCTCCACCGGCCTTTTGAGGATGCTCAATAGGGTTTAGGTCTGGAGACATGCTTGGCCAGTCCATCACCTTTAGCCTTGACACCATCTATTACCATGTATTAATATGTTTATTATCTTGGTCTCATCAGACCACAGAACATGGTTCCAGTAATCCATGTCCTTAGTCTGCTTGTCTTCAGCAAACTTTTTGCTGGCTTTCCTGTGCATAATCTTTAGAAGAGGCTTCCTTCTGGGACGACATCCATATAGACCAATTTGATGCAGTGTGCGGTGTATTGTCTGAGCACTGACAGGATGACCCCCCCACCCCTTCAACCTCTGCAACAATGCTGGCAGCACATACGTCTATTTCCCAAAGACAACCTCTGGATATGACGCTGAGCACGTGCACTCAACTTCTTTGGTCGACCATGGCAAGGCCTGTTCTGAGTGGAACCTGTCCTGTTGAACCGCTGTATGGTCTTGGCCACCGTGCTGCAACTCAGTTTCAGCCAGTTTCGGCCTTGTGGGGCGATGTTTCTCAGCTTTCTCTAGAAACCACTCATACAAACTATTTCACACTCAACACTGCACTGCTTGGGTCCTAGCAATACACCTGTCAAGTGTTAAGTCAATCAGATGAACTGTTGTCCAGAAAATCGATGGACAGACCTCCAGAAATTCCTTCCTTTAGAGGTTTGCCAATGGCTGGGTCTATTGTGTTGCGTGTGCTGGCGCCATCTTGGAAGGAGTGAGATTTTTCTGGGGTGGAGTTGTCTTGGTTGGTTTCAGAGACATTTTGCTAGTGGAAGTGCCCCAAAGTGCCAGTTAGTAATGAGGAAAAAAAGGATGATATCTGTCAGCAGTTTGGATCTGTTGATGTTGTAATTCCTGCTTGGCGCCAGTAGTTACCAGTAAAGGTCATAAATGATCAGATTCTGGGCCGGCAGCATAGGATTCATGGGCAGATATCAACAGTTTTTTGATGCTAGTAGTCATTTTGTTTTTCCTGACAGGAGGTAACGTGCTTTCTGTGTTTCTCCTCCTGTTGTTTAAGCCCTGGATAGGTTAGTGTTGTAGCTGTGTGGCCGGGCAGCCTGACTGCCTACCAGCCTCCAGATGAATGAAGAGCACTCCGGGACTCAGAGACACAGCTGATGCAGGTACACACAGCTATTAACATTTAACTTGCAGACACTACATGATGGTAGTACTTGCTTTCTGATTGATTTCTATTAGATTCAGTTCATCTATATGAAAACCTGCTTGCAGAGATTTTAAACATATTGCATATTGATAATCCATCTCAGTCTGTGTTGTTTAGACAGCTTTTAGACAGCTTTTATTGTAAAAGATGGCTCTAGTGGTGATTCAAACTGAGAGGAAGGAGTGGTCGGAAAACCCTGCTGATGAGGAAAATAGATTTTAGAGGCAGCCTTATTTTTAATGAAACAAATGACCACATTCACATGATCCTTTTCACCATGTCTATGTTTGTTTCAGTGCAATATATTTTAGCAGCTGACTAAAATGTGGATGTTAGTGTCCATGAACACACAATTAAGGACAGTTATACAGTCTCTGTTTAAAGCTGCATTACGATAACTTACATTATGATAACTTAATTTTGATGGATAATCCATCAACAGCAAATCTTAAGTTGATATTTAAGGTTGTATGTGTCCAGGAGATTTTCACTTTTATTCACATGCTTCTACAAATGCAGGATCTGTAGTAATTGCCTAGAACACACAAAATCGCCACCATTTTATCTTTGGAGGAGGTTGTAATTTGTACAGCGTTTGATGAATGTGCTGTGATTTATTTTTCTCCTCAGGGCATGTAGGTGTTTCTGCAAATATGATGAAGAAAAAGAACACTCATAAGTGAGTTAAGATGCTTTGCAGCTCTTTTAAACAATTGTACTCAAATGTCCTGTCGAAAGGAACATGAGATCATAATATGAGATGAGAATGTTTCTAGTCCCGCATTAGGGGATTCAATAGATGCAACTCAGCACAAACAGTTAACACAATGTCAAAGCAGACAATGTTGACTGTGTTGTTTCATGTCTCCTGTAAGGAAACATAAGAGCAGTCTGGGTCCAACCACCAAAGTTCTGTCGCAGCCACGACGCAACCTCGTCGGCTGCAGGATCCAGCACGTCTGGAAGGAAGGAGGAGGACATGTGATCTGGAAAGGGACCGTGCTCGACCAGGTAAGCAGAGTGATGAATAAGTGAGTGAGGGATTAATGTAGCTTTGCAGTAGTTCAAGCAGGCACAGAAGTTGTTTATAGTCCTGTGTTCCATATACTGTGTATTAAACGGGGTAGACCTAATACTAAAGACAGCCCATAATAAACACTTAGTGTTCATTCTACCTGTATGTGTCACTGCTGAGCCCTGCATCCTCACTGCTACCAGTAAATTAAATCTGTATTACTGTTGACGTGAATTACCTGACATAAACGCTTGTTTAAGGATGTGTGAAAAGAAGCATCAAAGCAACGAAAAAAACATTGTTTGAAAATGTGTCCACCAGGTGCCAGTGAACCCGTCTCTCTATCTGATAAAGTATGATGGTTTTGACTGCGTTTATGGTCTGGAGCTTCATAAAGACGAGAGGGTTCAGGGGCTGGAGGTGCTCCCTGACAGACTGGGTAAGACTGAAGTGAGAACAGGTTCACAGAGTTTTTTTTGTTTTGTTTTGTTTTTTACAGTTTTGCAACTTAAAAATAAAGCAACAAAGACTTTTTAACATTTTATACCAACAAATATATAAATCACATATACTTACCACATATAGATTTTTGTCTGCAAAAGATAACATGTTAGAGTTTAGCATGCTAAAAGTCAGCATGATAACATTTAATAGATGTTAAGTATGTATGTTAACATGCTAACTGTAATCATGTTAGTATAGTAATGGTAGCACTTTAGCATGCTAAGATAGACAAGCTTAAGTATTCAAAAATTCACAAATCAAGAAGCACAACTCGTAAAACACAATGCACAAATCAATGCACGTCATACGTGGAAATATATTTGAATCTCAACCTATTTGCATGTGGATCATTTTGAGACCGTTCTTCTGCACAATTTGTGTCACACAAAATTTAGATTTATAAATATAATTCACTCTACATTTAATTGTGCATTATGTTTTGAAAATTACGTATCTCGACATTTGTTTGTTAATACTTATGAGACTGTTCTAACCCTATATAGTTTAGACTGATGAAAGATGAGCCATGTCTGACAGTGTAAAGCTGTCTGACTGGCTGAGTTTGAGGTGCCCTCTTAAGGCCACTCCACAGAGCATAAACACATGGTAATGATCTAAGAATAGACAAGCTGTCCTTTTGTTTTCTGGTGTGTAATGAGCATCACAGCTTCATCAGGTGTGCTGATATGTACATTACTCTGCACTTTACTGCGGTTAGCACTGGTAAATAAATTAGATGCTAAACTGCAATCTTGCTGTTTCAGTACTTGTACACTGATGTTGCTGTGGACTTTATTTTTTGTTGAATTATATTCCTGGCATTTTTGCAGTTATAATATATTATAACTGCCTGGGAAGTGACTTTTGTTTTGATTTGAATTTTTGTCCCTGCAGCTAAATCCCGTCTAACAGACGTCAACCTAGCGGACACCATGATAGGAAAAGCGGTGGAGCACATGTTTGAGACAGAGGAGGGTCCGAAGGAGGAGTGGAGAGGGATGGTGCTGGCCCGGGCTCCTATCATGACCACCTGGTTCTACATAACCTACGAGAAAGACCCTGTCCTCTACATGTACCAGCTGCTGGACGACTACAAGGAGGGAGACCTCCGCATCATGCCTGACTCCAGTGAGTGAAGTAATATCATTCAGCCTTTATTTAAAACGGTGGGAATTTTAAAGTTGAACCTGAACCCACTTAGTCCCTTTACCTGTCCCGTGTCTTGAGCATTTTGGATTTTATCTCAATAGGTAGTAAAAAAGGCAGGTGTAAATGCAAACAGGTAAGGCTGTGTGATAGTCCAGTTTTATTGGAATGGCATTACAATTATATGATCATATTTGATACATTTTTTACAAGTTCTGATGTTTAAATTAACTCAAGCGAGCTAATTGTAAATAAAAGACAGAATGAGTGTAAGTTAATTTTGTGTACTCAGATTTGTGTAAAAAACAGATTCAGATTATTTTTTTTCATGAAAAAAGGGGGGAAATCCCACGCAAGTCGCACCCTGCGTATACTGTTATACAGCATGTATCATGCAATTTGATTAAATATTGTCGTAACATCTATTTTAGCCATGCCGACCAGCCATTGTAATTGGGAAAATAGCAGTGAGGGAAGAGGGAGTACAACCAGTGTCAAAGCTGCATTGTGGCACATTCCCACACAAAGCAAATTTAATTTTCACTTGAGTGTTCCCATACAATGCAAGTAAAATGCAAAATTGTGCTGAAATAACTACATCATGATGCCAATTTGTTAAATATATCATTTCATGTTTTGTCAGGTCTGTCCGCATGATACCAACTTTTAGAATGTTTGTTTTCCATAAATGGTGTTCGGATTGATCAGGGCCATGCAATGCTAACTTGTTTCACAGCAAAGTATAATGATAGCTGGAATCATCTAACAGACACATATTTTCTGCACTGACCAGGCAGTTAAACTTACTCACTTACTTTTCTCCAAGCAATCTCCTGTTTTGTCCCATATCTGTGTTAATATGAAGTAGTGGGTGCCTACTGAGTACAGGAATAATAGTAGAGGTTGGAAACACGGTGGCTCGCTGCTGTAAAGTTCGAGTGAAGATAAATCAATGTTTTAATCCCAAAAATGACTTTAAGAAAAGCAATTAACTCTGAGCTCCTCCCGCCGTTAAATAGCTTAGTTGTTCAGAGCAGAACCGGTGTGACTGCAGGTGTTTATTTGTACAAATGTCCGGCGCTGCCTCGGACTCTCTTCTCCGGAGCTCCCTGTAGCTCAGCAACTCAGCAAAAGTTGGAAATTTCAATTCCTTCGATGGAGTGCGATTTATCGCGCTAATCGCTTCCATTTAGGAATTATTGTCTTCATAGAGGTGGAAAGTTCATCACCACCAGCCATAAGATCACATGTCCTTCTTGGACACATTGAATGCTGGATATCTGGAGGTTTCTTAAAAAGATCTAGAAAAAGAATTATTGCAAGAGAGGGTGTGATCTAGATGAAAACTTGTGGCCAAATGCACCAAAAAAAAAAAGAGAATAAAACTGTGGATGAACCTAAGAACTCATGGCTGAGAAGAGGGAATCAGCAGGGTTTATGTATTTTATAGCGTGAGCAGATGCACAACAAGTTGGTGACGCTTCCCTGTCAGCTCGCTCTCATCGGGTGTTGCAGGTTTCTGATCAGAGGCTCCCCAATGCCAAATCGTAAATACCAAACATTGAATTTGGCAGCTTTCGATCAAGTTGGCAACCTTAAGATTATATCCCCCACGATTAGCACTTATTTTTTTAATTTAAATCCCTCAGAAACATCCCTTTGTTTCTCTGTTTTACTAGAAGAATAAAAAACAAGTGAGATGGAGGACATGTTAATACCAACATCTCTCTGTTTGTGTCTCCCTGTAGATGACAGCGTCCCGGCGGAGAGGGAACCTGGCGAGGTAGTGGACAGCCTGGTGGGTAAACAGGTCGAGTACGCCAAAGAGGACGGCGGCAAACGAACGGGCATGGTAATCCACCAGGTGGAGGCCAAGCCCTCCGTCTACTTCATCAAATTTGACGATGACTTCCTCATTTACGTCTACGACCTGGTCAAAACTTCATAAGACTCTGCAGACGTCCTGAGCCCCTCTCTTGACTTGACAGAAACAAAAATGCAGCACATTTCGAAACACCTGAAGCATTCGATCAAACACTTGTTCCTTCTACCATCAAATACAAAAACAAAAGACTCGAGAAAAGAATTCTTACAGTGGAAAAGGACAGGATAGATGCTTTTTGAAAATCGGCTTGTTCCTGCGTCTGGAAACATTTAAGACGGATTAAAATTCAGCTTGGTGGCTTTGAAGACTCATCTATGACTTTCTGAGACCCTTAAAATAGAAAAAAAGGGTCCTGGTTTTAAGTTACTCCTACAAGGGCCGGAAAATTTTGAATACCCCTTAATACCTTTCTGAAAAAAATCAGAGGTCTCCAAAAATTCAGTCTTACTTTAGAAAGCAAACTAAACGTTTAAATCAATTTCAGTGTTTGAATTCATCCAGTGGGCTGGTTGCAGGGGACATTTTTGGTCTTGGTGATATGGCATAGCTAATTCGAGATTACCCCCTAGTGATCATATCATGGGAAAGTCTGATAGTAGCCGACTCTGTGCTAAACAACAAGGAAACAAGATAAGGACAGGTGGTCAGGTGGAGTTGGCAGTGTGGCAACTAGAAGTCTTCATTTGGATACGTGACTTACAAATCACATAGTTTGGCTTAATATTTCAAAGGTTTGACTAAGTAAGCCAAAATATTTTACTAGGTATAATTATGATTAATAAAATCATCATTTTGATTTAGTGAATCTAATAATTTTGACTTTTGCATTTTACTTCTGTCATAGACTTTGAAAGTCTCATAATTCCACTCTAGTATGTCAAAATCTTTACTTCTTTTTGAATTAAATAATTACCTTGATTTATAAGTTCGTAATTCTTTACCAAAAAGATTATAGTGTTTATTATGCCTAAGGGCATCCCTTTTTCTCTTTTTCTGGCTGAAATGGTCCTCCATATAATTGAGATCCATAAGACAGGAAAAAAGAAACTGGTCCCAGTCTAACCTAAACGTTGGACTTTAGAGACTTTCTGAAGGAAAAAACAGTAAAATAACATAACATGGTAACCAGCATAACAATGCTAACCCACACATAAATAAGTAAAGGAACAGGTGGGAACCTAAAAAACAGGTTGTTTTTGTCACACTTAAGAAGGCACTTTGGAAATATCCCAAAACTGGTGGCCCTTTTGTTTGGAATGAAGGTTAACTGAAGTGGGATTTCTGTTCCGTTTGTTGTACAAAACAAAACAGATTTCTTCATCGTAAATTGTGCTACTTACACAGGCTCCATTTCATCAACTTCAACTGAATATTAATGAGGAGGGCAACAAACTGATCTTTAAAAAAGCTTTTTCTTTTCTTTTTGCTTTTATCATTGCCGGAACCCGTCCTGTTGTGAAGTTGTTTGATGTTGAAGACAATCGGACAGCTTTTCCCTGTGATTTCACTAAAGCCTTTGGATTTGCTCTCGTGTTGTCTTTTCTAAGTCATCAATGAAGGATAAGAATGACTTAGCTGAAACTTGGCCAAAGCCCTTGGTGGCCTTGGCAGTTTGTTTGTAACAAGGTTATTAACATTAACACAAACACCTGGAATTGCAATTTCTTGAGTGGTTCTTCCTCCATTTGAACTTCTTGTGGATGTGATGGATTCTAAATGTCACAATCTGTTGATTTAAGGAGCGGATAACATGGTTTAATGCACCTTAAATCCTGGGAGGAGAAGATAAGAATACTCCCTGGACAGTTCATGAGTATGTTGGACTTTAGAAGAAAAACAAATACACAGATGTTTTTTTTTTGTTTTTTTTCAGTTTCGAAGGCATCAGTGAGAATTTTGAAGATGTTAAGAATTTGGAGCCTGAACAGTTTACTTCCATGTCTGGGTTGATAAATGTATTACTGTAACAAATGTAATCCCAGTTTGTTTATACACACAAACCAAAATATTTTTGGGTCCTCATGATGTGATCCAATGCTTTCATGGCTGACTGAAGAAACCAGAGGGGACACAGTCAGTTGTGTTTAGTATGTAAAGAGATTAACAACCAGAGAAGGTTTAAATATCCTTTTTCACAAATGTACATTTTATTTTATTTGGATATACTCGAGACCGAAGGTTTGCCATAAAAGTGTGTTCTGGACTGAAAATGTAGTTTTGGGCAAAATTACAAAATAAGCAAAATGTGCTATGTGAATGAGGGTTAGAGTTGAGCTGTTTATACTGGTAATTGACAGATATCCCAAATAAATTTGCTACTTTCAGCCAGCTACAATTTAAGAATACAAAGATATCCTTAAAGAAAGAGAGCTTGTTGGTTCCTTTAAGGTACAATGTGTAAGTATTGAGACTCGTCTCCACCTGTCCAATTCATACTCCCCAAAAAATAGGGGGCAGCATATCACATATCAGGTAATAACTGCTGCTAACTGAGCTCAGTGAGCTGTGCAGCTAATTTAGCAGTGGTATAGTCCTGAATGGGCACCAGAACCGGAAACAGCTAACTCTGTGAATTAAGGGGTTATTTTCACCAAACCAGACTTGGTGACAGTGGAAAGACTAACCAAGACGAGTTTTAATTTGTTTCTGTCGAGTTTGAATGAGAGAAACTTGAATTCAGAAGGTGTATAGTTGTATTGTTTCTGTTTGCTAAGGAGAATAGGTGTAAAAATATTTCCTTTCTTGTTACTTTATTTTATTTATTTATGACACTCAAAAAGCTAAGAGAGCTTGCGTAACTCGCTGCTCGCACACATCTTGTAGGGCCTGAGCTATCGGATTTTCGCCTCTCGGGGCTGAAGTGGTATTACAACACAGGACGGGCCAGAGCTAGCAGGTTAGCATGCTAACTTCAGTAGATATCTCTGCAAAACAGTACATAGACGTATTTTACATGACGTCAGAACTGTTACTACTTCACATTCTGTTGAATATCTTCATTTTGTTAATGTTTATACTAAAATTCTGTCATTATCTTACACATTGTACCTTTTAAAGGTTTATTACAAAATAATTAAATTAATAACTAAAGAAATTATGAATGTATGCTGATGATATGTTTGCATCCATAATTTGCTGGAATGAGGAAAATAGGCTGATATTTACAATTACAAAAATGTTGATTTTCCATTTATAACTAAAACTTAATTTGTGGATGTCAGTATAGGTCAAGTTTTGGGGGTTTGGGCACTTAATGCAACAGCTATCAGTGAATGTTTCCTGTCATTTTTTTCTTCTCCCAAAACCTGTTAACATAGGAGTGAATGAGAAAAGAAACCAGTGATGTATGAAAAACCTTCAGTCAGTGTACTTCCTGTGATGTAGTTAGTTGCCAAGGCAGATTACAGCTCTTATTATAACCGCACAAAAAAAGACACTTTCCCAGAGATCTGTTGGTTTCTGCACGTGTATATCTGTTTTGTTTTTCATGAATAAGATTGTGGTCGTCTCAACAGGCACTATTTCAATTTGGTGATGATATAACACATTCTTACTAAGACTTGATTTGCAGCAAAGTTATGTCTAATTTAGTCATTTAGTTTATTTCACTTTTATAATGATAACCGGTAAATGTTTGAATGACATGGGCCTTCTGTCATCCTTCTGCCTTGTATTGTTTGTTTTTGTATGTTTTAAAATGTATGTTAATAATTTTAATTGTTAATAGAAATCCTGACGTGGCGTGCTTTGTTTTCTTTCCAGCATGGTTCACTTTTCGATTTTTGACATCTGAGGCTGTTTTGTTGGTGCGAGCAGGTACAGTAGGACGGGTGGTTTTTCTGTACGGCACTTGAGCAACATGCAGCGTTTATGGATTGAAGCATACTTCAGTGAAGACTTTATGTCCATAGAGCACAGACAAGTTTAGCAACTGTAAAATATCATATCTTTGTCACAATTTTTAAATAACCACATTGGGGGGTCTTTGGTAAAAATGTAAATGTGTTAAAATTGGCTGATATGTCATTGTTGTATCTGTTAAACTCTCAAATATCACCCTCAAAAAATCAACATCAGTTGGTTCTCCCAAACCTCAAAAAAAGTGTTTGAGTGGCCTTGTGTATCAAACACGCTGAATGGTTAATTCAACTTCCTATTGGGCTGCATGTGCAAAGCAGACATGTTAAAAGGACTAGCTTATATGCTATTTTCCAAGGGTGAGAAGAGAAGATGGATATCAAACCCGCGCAAAGTCTGTGCGTTAAAAGGGGAACTCCACCAATTGTACTTCTGTCAGTCAAGCTGTTTCAACAGGCAGGTGGTCATAATGTTATGGCTGATCGGTGTATAAGAATGCTCTCCGTAATGCCTATTACTCATCATTAATAGAGGAAAACAAGAACAAACCCGGGAGAGTCACAGCTCTATTGAGCCATGTTTTCCTGGAGCCCTCAGTAGGAACAACTTCATGAGCTTCTTTAATGATGAAATTATAATTATTATAGACTAAATTCACTAGCTCCTGCCCTCAACTTGTACTGATTTATTATCAAACAGAAACCTAAGAAACTGTAAAACCTGATATATATTTAGACTGCTCCCTTCATTTAAGCCATCAACCTGTATTTTGGACCCCATCCCAACTAGGCTGCTTAAAAAAGTTTTACCCCTAGTTAGCATCCAATCTGTCTTTATTAAGAAGCTACAGTATCTCACAAAAGTGAGAACACCCCTCACATTATTTGTAAATGTTTGATTATATCTTTTCATGTGACAGCACTGAAGAAATGACACTTTACTACAATGTAAAGTAGTGAGTGTACAGCTTGTAGAACAGTGTAAATTTGCTGTCCCCTCAAAATAACACATAACATAGCCATTGATGTCTAAACTGCTGGCAACAAAGTGAGTACACCCTTAAGTGAAAATGTCAAAATTGGACCCAACGTGTCAATATTTGGGTGGCCACCATTATTTTCCAGCACTGCCTTAACCGTCTTGGGCATGGAGTTCAGCAGAGCTTCACAGGTTGCCACTGGAGTCCTCTTCCACTCCTCCATGACGACATCAGCTGGTGGATGTTACAGACCTTGCTCTCTTCCAACTTGCGTTTGAGGATGCCCCACAGATGCTCAGAAGGGTTTAGGTTGTACTGGCTTCCTGTAAAATCAAGAATAAAAATTAAAATCCTTCTGCTCACCTACAAAGCTCTTAATGGTCAGGCAACATCATATCTTAAAGAGGTCATAGTACCTTATTACATCAGTAGAACCACTAGCCATTAATGCATGTCAGCATCTTCTCTCTCCTGTAGTTTTGTGCTTTTTTGTCTCTCCTCTCTCCTTCTGTTGCTTTCTGCAGGTGTTTCTGCCTCCAGAGCTGTTGATTCTGGATTTGTGGTTGCAGGCTCCCTACTGGCCCCCATGTTCCCGCTCAACACCAGCTGCTACAATTATTATTATTCATCATCTTCTTATCATTGTTGCTATCATTAATGACTATAATTATTTTTGTTTGATATTAATATATGTTTATATAATTATAATATATTAATATTATAATTGTTGGGTCTCTGTAAATAATATTACAAAGAGGATGTAAATGTAGAACGGCCAAAAAGTACAGTCTAGACCTGCACTGTATGAAAAGTGCAATGAGATAGCTTTTGTTATAAATTGGCACAATATAAATAAACAAATCAGAATATTTTAAATAACTATGTGGAATTTGCATTGTGCTTCTTTATGTTCTCTTTCCTCCTGCGCTATCAAATTCAAATTCAAATTAGCTTTATTGGCATGAATGTAAAGCAACAGTATTGCCAAAGCTACATATAAATTACCTAAGGAAAATGAATTTCATATATTTCATTAGATAAGGAAATAGAACAGCAAATGTTGTGTTTGTGTGTGTTAATAAAAAATGAAATAATAAAAATATATAAAATATAAAAATTCTGTAAAAATAAATATTTTTTAAAAAGTAAATAAGTAAAACAATGTGTGTGTGTTAGAAAATGAAAATAATATATTCAATTAAAATAAATAAAACAGTAAGTGTGTGTGTGTGTTAGAAAATGAAAATAATATATTAAATTAAAATAAATAAAACAGTAAGTGTGTGTGTGTTAGAAAATGAAAATAATATATTAAATTAAAATAAATAAAACAGTAAGTGTGTGTGTGTGTTAGAAAATGAAAATAATAAATTCAATTAAAATAAATAAAACAGTAAGTGTGTGTGTGTGTTAAATTTTTTTTAAATATATTAAAAATTAGTAAAAATATATTAAAAAAGTAAATGACACAGTAACGTGTTTGTGTGTGTGTTAATAAAATAATAATAAAAAAATTTAAATATATTAAAAATTTAAATAAACTAAGTAAATGACACAGGTAAGGTGTTTGTGTGTGTTAAAAAAATAATAATAAAAATGTTTTTTTAAATATATTAAAAATTAAAATAAACTAAGTAAATGACGCAGTAACGTGTTTGTGTGTGTGTTGACAAAATAATAATAATTTTTAAAAATTAAATATTAAAAATTAAAATAAACTAAGTAAATGACACAGTAATGTGTGTGTGTGTGTGTTATTATAATATTATATTAAAATAAAATAAATAGATAAAAAAATTTATTAATTAGTTCTTTGTCTCTCCCTCTTTCTCTCTCTTAACCCAACTGGATGAGGCAGATGGCCGCCCACCCTGAGTCTAGGTTCTGCTCGAGGTTTCTGCCTGTTAAAAGGAAGTTTTACTGCCACTGTCGTCAACTGCTTGCTCATGGTGGAAATTGTTGAATAATATGTGAAAAAGTTGTATGCAGAGGGATTTTTATGATGAATGAAATAAATATGGTGGTGGAGTTAGAAAGAAGAGAGCTCACAGGAGGCAAGAAATAACTGGGCCATTCCAGATTTCACACATGTTGACTGGGACAACACAATGAGTAAACAATTACAAGCACAATATGGGCTTTCCTCCATCTCGTCCATTTTGCCTTTCACTATTTGCCTCATTCTGAATTTTGAGCATCACATTCCCGTGACTGCAAACAGCATAATGGAGCGCACCTAGCTTATCCTGGTCCTGTGAGAGAGTTTCATCTACGCTTGTTTATTAGATTACCCATTTCAAGACTAAAACAGGAAAACACACAGTCATTTTCTTTTATTAAAGCCTACAAAAAAAACGTATGTCGGACCCTTCACTCTGTGTCAGAGTAAGGATAAGTAAGGGTTACAAATGAAGAAGTAAAAAAAAAAATACACCTTTGTTGCATCACATCAGGCATTTATCTTTCCTTTTTTAGTATGAGTCAGCATAAACACTTCTCCCATGACACTTCTCAAGAAACAACATAGTACTTAAAATAACATGAAATTAACATAACCTTCACTTTAACTGATGCCAAACTCCATCCATTCATCCATCCACGGGATACAGTATTAATGGAGGTGGAGAATACATTATTTAAAAAATCTCATACCTAAAAAAATAGTTTTGTCTGCTTACATTGAACTGAATGAAAAATTTTAGGGAGACAGAAATGTGACATCTGCTTTAATGTCACAACCTTTTAAACATGCCCACTGTACGTCAGTGATTGGCCTGTTGGGTGGAGGTAGGCGGGGAGCATGAACTTGTCTCTTAAGTTCTTCTTTTTTCATTCTTCACATAGCTAATTCTTTTGTGTAACAGCATGAATGCCTTTGAGGAGACTGTCCAAAAGTGTACATTATCTCCATTTGTCTGATCCACGCTCCTGCCCCTCTCTATTATAATCTGCCTTTTCTATTTTAATCCAAATAACTGACTTTTAAGTCGCATTGCGATTAACAGTTTGTAGCATTAATTATCGTGTGCCATTAAACCTTTGCAGAAGAAGAGGGTGCAACCAGATGACATAACTACTTTGAACCATACTGATGGCTTTAAGGCAATGATATGGTTGAGATCCATCATACGTCTTTAATTTTAATAAATTGACTGTTACCTGTTAAACTTTCCATTCTCATACAGATTTAGCACTTTGTTTGAAATTCTTCATCTGAAATCAAGAACCTATGGGTTTAAAAATGACTGAGGTAGACAAATGCAGCTTCTCGATTCTAGAGGGCGACCATCGATTTTAAAGGCTAGCCAATTAAGCTAACATTAGCTCCTTTTAGTTGGTTGAAATCGCTGTCTCCTGCTGCCCTTATGTTTCCAGCTAATTCATTTTAAACAAAGGCCTTACGTAGTCACTTAATGGCTTCATAGATGATATATTACTAAAAGAATGAGGCGTAGCTGCACGTCCAAATCCAAAACTTGACAGACTGGTCATGGATAGTTCTGGCTGCTAGGCAAAGATTGTACAATCGCTGTTCAGAGGACAGGTTTAGGAAAGGGTCAAATGACCTGCTGAAACAAGCTTAGTAGAAAATGTATTCATTAAAAAAAACTATTTTGTTGTGTTCAATGACAGTATGAGTTTGTAGTTACAGTGTGATTTTAATGCTGCCTCAACACCAAAATGTGAACAAAAAGACCAGTGAAAACAATAAATAATAAGTGAAACCAAGTTATTTAAAATGCAGTAAGTAGTCGCTGAACATCTGAAGTGACAGCGGAAGCCACAATAACAAACTCCCTGTGTGACAAACATCTGCCGCTGCACAATTTACAGATACTTGCAGCGGTGACTCTGGCTTCCATTTACGCAACAAGGCAAAACATTTGAATTGTTTGCTTCTGCAATTTTTTTTTTTTGTTTGATACAAAAGCTTCACCAACATAGATCAGAAGAGAGAAAACCCTGGAGCAAATCATCAGTTTAAACCATCTATCATCTATTATGTACCAACCAGTTTGCATCTTCAGTTTGATTTCATCTTTTCTGTAAGAACTTACATGTTCTTCTGGTCAAGAAAAGGACCTACTGTTTGTTGTCTTCCCCAAAGTCATTTAAGACGACAGATATCAGTTTCATCTCTTCACCACATCCTTCTTCTGTCTTGTTAGCTAGCAAGCTAGTGACTAAATGTCTTTAGTTACATTTTTATTTCTACACCTGTTCAATAAACAAGATACAACATGTAAACCAGACTGATTTGGACTTGTTGGAAGGTGGATTTTCTTTCTTACAATTAAGCTAGGCTAACAGTTCCCCCTGGTTCCAGGTTAAACACACAGGAATTAAAACTGATATCCCTCTTCTCATCTGACGGGGAAAGAAAGGGAGGGTAGAAAACCCTCTGGCCCTGGTTTATTCATTATTAAAGCACTAAATGCAAATAGACTTTTTAACTGACTCTCTGGAGCAGCACACAGTAAGTAGGTGGTGATCTGATACACTCTGACAGTATTGTTGGCTGTTGCAAGGGTCAAAGCGGTAGCCTTCTGGTTTCTAGGCTGTAAATTTTACCAAAACTCATTAATTCATTCATCTGTTTTTACCAGCAGGAGAGGGAAAAAAAGACAGCAGGAGAACATTACAGGAACAAATATATAATTTTCATTAATGCTTATTAAAAATCAAATGGACTTGGTTTGAAAAACAAATAGCATGATGTAAAAAAAAAAAAAGACTCAAAAATCTGTAGCTTCAGCTTACAGTTTATTCCACTTAGTCATCGCCTTTATGAGGGCTGATCGCTATGAAAATATCTCTCTGTGTATACTCAGGCATAGTTCATCTTTCTGTACAGGTATGTCTCCACACAGCACGGCGTGTGTTGTCCGTGTATGTTGGCACTGAGGCAGGTGTGCGTGTTACAGACGGAGTTCACGTCTGTCAGTCGTCGATGAACGTCAGCCGGCCCGGTCCCTCGTTCCTCATCCAGCGGCGGTACCTCTTCATCCTTGGGTCAGTTGCCATCTTTACCTTCATCTCCTCCTCCTGCTCCTTTCTGTACACCTGAAAGACACACATCAGGTACGTTTAAACTTCTACAGTTTGCAGCACTGCAATTAGGGCTGGACGATAAAAACACAGTGTGTGCATTTTTTTTGCAAATAGCTCAATTCAGTATAATAAAAAAAACAGCAAAGCAAAAGTGATGTGAAATAGACGTGCTTTTGATTCACACAGGAATGTAACTACTATCTTTTGAAGTTCAGTAAAAACGGTGAATTTTTGTGGCACTAATCAATACTTTATATCCTTGGGGCCCGAGCACCAAAGTGCCATGGCCCATAACCAAGGGCATCACTTTATGTTGGAAAGTGGTGGGGATATAAGGGCTCAGATTAGGGAAGTGATGATACACTTTGGTAGAATAAGACAAGAAGATTTTTCACACTATTTTAAAAAATTTATCAATACTGAAATATGAGTGGAAGGTCTGGGGTCCTCCCCCAGAAAATTGGAGCATCAAACACTTAATTTCTGGCATTCTGGAGAAATTTTCTGCTCCGATTTACAGGGGAAATTTATTTATATGGCAATTCATAAATATAAAAATATAACAGAATATAATGCAGTAATCAGCAGCTTGTTTTGTTTTTTAACTTAAGTTACTTTTATTTCTTCTATATTTAAATAGCATTAGATGTTTTCTTATTGTGCAAATAAACATTTCTTAAAGCATTTTAATTTGTTATTCAACATTTCTTGGTGCTATTTTTTAGAAATGTTTTAACAAATGCTTTCAAAAAGTGATGGGGACAAATTCAGCCATTTCAAAAAGTGATGGGGACATGTCCCCAGCGTCCCCAGCATAAATGACACCTATGCCCATAACAGTGAAAGTGCAAGGAACCTATTGTTTTTTGTAAGATTTATTATCATGGTTATTCTGAACGTAGAACACATTTTTTAATGGCTTAGGATGCCCGAAAACTCACGTCAGTACCGGTGAATGGGCTCAGGCGTGCCCAGGGCTCTATAGCACACCCTACAAAATTTTAACAAAGCAGTCCCGACATACATTTTACCTAGATGTATTATCTTTTTACTTACTAAAGAGCTGTTTGGAGCCATGTCCTAAACCCAACAGGAAGTCAGCCATTTTGAATTGAACGTGCAATTTTAGGGTATTTTTAGCCATATACAAGCTCTCCTATGAAAGTAGTCCCTTTTAGCCATGAACCTACAGACAACTATCACCTGATTCTTCCGCTCACCTTGTCTTTACGGCGCTTCAAAAGTGAGATCCAAAAGATAGAGCACCTGCAAACTGAAACTGTGTGGCTTGCTTTATGTGTAGATAAGGACAGTTATTTAAAAACAATCTAACATCACTGTTTAATCGGTATTTATGTTTTTTATCTGGCGTTAAACAGTACTCATAATGCGCTTCTGTGCTTGTAAAGTTCCTGGGAGCTAGAGTTTTTTCTGTGCTCACAAATGAATTATTGTTTAACTCCCTCTAATAGCAAACCTAACCTAATAATAGGTTTCTAGCAACAGCTGTAGTGCTAGAAAAATATAAATACCAGAAAGACAGACATTTAGCTACAGAGGCAAGCCCTGTGAGCTGATATTAGGACTTCTGCTCTATAATATGCTACTAACACGCTAAACTGGTGAACACTGTAGACATTATACCTGTTACACACCAGCATGTTAGCATTGTCTTTGACTGTAGATTCTTGGTCTTGTGATATTAACCAAGGATCAAATCATTTTCATCCTCTAACAGGATCAATCAAGAGTTGATCAATTAACTTTTATCTGTGCAAACTTTTACACTCTGAATGACAAATACCTTCTGCTGGTTGCAGGAATAAAGGTTGTGGTAGTTTATAGAGTGAATAAATAGAGAAGAAAAGGAATATAAAAAGGAAAATATCTGGAAGAAGAAAGTAAAGAGGGAAGAATGGGAAACCCAAAAGGAGGAAGGAAGGACTGTAAAGAGGAGAAAAGGAAAAGGTACTGAAGATGGAGATGAAGTCAAAGAATGAGAAGAGATGCAAAGAGAATTTTAAATGACAAACCTCGTAGTTTTCTTTGATCCAGAGCTGTTTTTCCAGGAAGGACTGTTTGGTGTTTTCATCCAGACTGTCAAACTGAGACTGAGACATCTTCATGTACCTCCTGAGAGATAAAACACAGAGTCTGCTGTCAGCTAATGTGACAATGAGGTAAGAAACATGGGAAGGAGTCTGGATTCATCTCAATCCTCCAGGTAGTACAACAAGCTAGTTTCTCTAAGAACTGACCTGATGATGTAGAGCCTCTCCTCGTCTCCGTACTCCTCCCTGCAGATGGTGAAGCGGTAAACCCAGGAGACATACCAGACCACGTAGTTGGTCAGGTAGTAGGGGAAGAGCACGACCTGACACAGCAGGATGTCCGACAGGTTGGGCTTCTGGTAGCCCCCTTTGATGTCGATCTTGTTTTTGATGATATCACGGATCACCTCCTCCTCCTGCTCCCGGATCTCCTCTTTGGAGCGGCGGTTCTTGCCCTTCTCCTTGGTACGGTTTAGGAGGCCCTGCTGCTTGGCGATCTCCGTGGCCTGGATTCGGTACTTGGGGACCGTCACTAGGTAGTTAATGGCCTCGTTGTAGCTGCTGTGCCAGCTATAGTACTGGAGGAGAGACAGGGAGGTAAGATGTATGTGCTGATGGGGTTTTACCTGCCTGTCTGAGGCCGGGTTCACACCTGTGGATGTGTGTGAGGTACCTAGAGACTAAAGACAAAAAGACAACTGTTATTAGGGCAGGCCAGCAAATCAGTTATTTATTGACTCTTAGTGGAATCATAGCATGAAGATTAGAGGTGAAACATAAACTATAAACTATCGACAAACCAATAAAAATTCACACAATCCACAATCATTTAACATGTCATACTGAAAATCATCCAGACAAACATACAAGCCAGTAAGACATTTTCACTTAGGGGTGTCCTCACTTTTGTTGCCAGCGGTTTAGACATTAACGGCTGTGTGATGTGTTATTTTGAGGGGACAGCAAATTTACACTGTTCTACAAGCGGTACACTCACTACTTTACATTGTAGCAAAGTGTCATTTCTTCAGTGTTGTCACATGAAAAGATATAATCAAATATTTACAATTAAGATGTGAGGGGTGTACTCACTTTAGTGAGATACTGTATACAAACACACACACACACACACACACACACACACACACACACAAGCCAGCAACACATAGTGTAAAGCGCTTTGAGTGGTCGGATGACTGGAAAGGTGCTATACAAGTACAGTCCATTTACCATTTCAACTGTAAATTTCACAGTCTTTATTATTCTTCTATAACTTCAATTTCATATTTTTATATTTTAATTAATTTCTATTGTTGCGCACCTGGTCACAAAAACAAATTCCTTGGATGTGTAAAAACTACTTGTCAATAAAGCGGTTTCTGATTCTGATTTAGCATTAAGTTCATCGTGGGTTTGGGGCTTTTCATTGGATTCGATGACAATAAATAAATATATAGAAAATCAGACGACTTATTCTTTAAATTATATATTTAATAGATGAAAAAGGTAACATTTACGGACCAAAAGTCTGGAGTCAAAGGTCTCAGTTTCTGATTAAAAAACACTTCCCGCATCTGTGATCCAGCAAGACTAGCTGGAAGTTTGGAGAGAGATGTTTTTATAAGCGGTTGGTAGTTTCTGACTCCCCTGGAGCCTGCACGAGTACCTGGAAGATGGAGATGGCACAGATGGTGATCAAGATGACGATTCTGACGTCCACCTTGGGGGTGAGCTGTCGACGGTAGTAGGTGTAGTAGTGCTGGTAGTACTCCTCAGGATGGTCCAGCATGTAGTCGTAGTCCCGCCGAGTGTCCTCATCCTACACACAGATGAGACATTATTTATGTTTTTACTTGAAGCTTTCTGTTATGAAGACCTGCAGCTCAGCCAAACCTGGTGTCAACATTAAAAACAAAATAACTACTATTTATTTTTAATGTCATGGTTGATATATATATATATATATATATATATATAATACCTGCAGGCTTCTTCATCTCTATCTTTGCGCTTGTCTCATTTTTCAGGTGCACAGTTAACGCAGATACTGTATAGTAGTGTGGGAAACGTTTCATATTCTGATATGAAAATGCCATACATGAGCACCATGTTTTGAAAAACTACTAAGATCAGATTACAGTAATACAGTCTTTATAGAAACATGGATATGACAAGATGAAATCTCTTTAAAGACATCTTGGAGATAAATCTCAAACATCAAAAGTTAAGTATTATTAATGCTGTACAACTGAATGCTTTCGCCTCTAAAAATCCATTAAATGAAACAATCTGAGAAAAAACGCTTTGTTTTCAACTGGTGTTTATGGTTGGGAACTACTGCTATGGGAAAATGAATTGCAGGGATGAAACCTGATGGTCAGGATGTGGAGTATTACATAAAGCCCCTGAATATCAGAGAGGGAAAACACACAGGTTCCAGACAATATCACACAAACAGATCCTTCAAAGAAAATGACAGTGATAGCCTACTAAACAGACATAAAGGAGACAGAAAAAGGTCCCACAGGACACCATACTCGATAGCACTGTTGGTCCCTTTTCCTGATGGAGTATTACGAAGAATAAAGTGGACAATAGTTCTATACTGGTCTCATATGGCAACATTTAATGAATGTTATTATATTATTGGACACTGTAACGCTATGCATCATCCACATCATTATCTTCTTGAAGAGACCGACATAACTGTGTTGTAGTAAGGAACGTTAGTCTTTGATAGGTACTTGGACAGACCTTTAACGTCTCGTATGCGGTCGCGACTAGCAGGAACTTCTTCTGGGCTGACTCCCGGGTCTCTCCCTCAGAGCCGGGGTCTCCCGGCCTGAACCGGTCTGGGTGGTACCGGCGGGCCAGCTGTCGGTAAGCCCGGGCGATCTCCACCTTGGCGGCCTCCCGGGCGACGCCGAGCACATCGTAGCAGACCTCGGTGCCGCAGTACAGACCCTCCACCAAAGCGGTGACCGTCGGCATGGAGGACACGGAGAACAGGACCACCGCGAGCCGCCACCAAGGCGTCACCGTCCGCGGACAACCGGCAAACCCTCCTCCTCCTCCACCGCCGCGGCACCGCTCCGTGGGCGCAGCCATCTCTGTCTGCCTGCCGCCGCCGCCGCCTGTGGAGCCCTGGCTGTGCTGTCGCACGCTGATTACGTCATCAGGAGACGAAAGGATGACGAGGCATCAGCGAAGATGCTGCGTTCAAAAAAAAAAGGAAGAAGATGCTGCGTTCCAGACCCCTCGGAACTCAAAAACGTCCGACCTTAAAGTAGAACGGAACAACAGAGTCCCTGCTTGTGAACTCGGGGCAAATCCATCTACCCCGACTTCATGACGAGGCAGCAACAATGGCTGCAACCATGGAAGCCCATATTGTGGCTGTACCATAAACTAAAAGGCAACATAAAGTAGGCCATATTTACCTGTATTTAATTAAATTAATACACACTATCATACAGTACAACCTTAAGACAATATTAACTCTTAATAAAACACAAAACACAATAAATAAATAAAATAACTAGGGGGTGTCTTCTGATAGTTTAAAGGAATAAAAAATGTTTAGCAGCTTTTTTACAGTTTTCTTTTCCAGAAAGTTCAATGATTTATAATGCAATACAAAGCTAATTCTTTCTTTAAAAACAACATCTGGGGCTGTGTTTAATACATTTGCATTAGTGGAGAAAGTATTTTCCTAAAATAAATAACATGTTCAACAGAAAGTTCTCCTGAAGGATAAATATCATTAAATATTTAGATGTAAAGCTCTTTTGCTTTTGGAGGTAAAGTGAGCGTGTCATTTCTTTAAGATGGGCTAACAAAAGGTGTGAGAGTTCCTGCTGAATTATATAAAACATTTGTAAAGAGAGGATCATTATGTTGGGGTAATTTTACTTGAGAAATCGTGTCTGTCAATCTTCAGTGAAGGGAGATGAGAGTGGACAACCATATGAGACAACATATTTTTAGCCAACAAAAACGCTTTTGATAATCTTATCATATGTCTAAGGTTACAAAATTAAATTTCAGACAAAAGTCCTCAAGCTTTAAGATGTTGCCAAATTCACCTAGCCTAATAAATGAGTGACCGACCAAAAATTTTTCTCCATCCAGTTATGGAAAAATAAAGTCTTATTTTTAAAATGAATGAATCTGCAATTCCAGATGGAACAACATGTGTTGAGAAATTGTGTACAACATGTTCCAATATAACAGTACTTGTGAGTGAATTGTACAGGTAGTTTTTGGACAAACAAGTCATTTTTACCAGTCTTTTTAAAAAATTCCCTTGTAACACAATACAAGATAATACAAAAGTTGCTGTTATTCACTACAAAGGACCATAATTATTTGATCTGCAATGTTCCATTTAAACAGTCAATTGCCTGTAGTCCACCATCTTCATAATACTTTACCATGGTTGTTTTCTTAAAATAATGAGGTTTTCTTTTCCAAATGTAGTTCCAGTTTAGCTTTTTGATGGCCCTTACTGCTTTGTCAGACATGGAAGGCAAGGCAAGTTTATTTGTATAGCACTAACCTTGTTTAGCATTCGTCCATTGTGTTTCATATAGTTTCACATAGTTTAGTATCCTCCTTTAGTATTTGACCATAGTTTTAAGGGGGTACCATGTGCCACAAGATGACAATCATGTCTGGCAAAAAAGTCACAACTTTTCAGGTTTGAAAAATAAATCAAGAAACTTTTGGAACTTGCTTAACATTATTCAAAAACAACTTTGTGTCGTCTGCCAGCTGACTTATGACTATTTGATTTTCAAAACCGCTCAATTGCTCAAGATCTGAATTTTTGATAAGAATTGATCTAATTTCTGCTGCCATAAGACTGAGGGTGAAATTGGGCAGCCTTGTTTTATACCTTTTAACTGTAAAAGAGGGGACATAGCACCTGAAAAGGATAATGAGCTGTTAGTGTCCTGATACAATTTGATTACATTCCTGAAATTCTCTCCAAAGCCACACAGCTTGAATGCCTTAAAATTAAAGGGGTGTTCTATTATGTCAAAAGCTTTATAAAAATCAAGAAAAAGAATAAAGCCACCATCATTTATATAATTACTATATTCAGGGAGGATAAAACTAGGTGCACATTGTTATGTATTGATCAACCTCTCGTAAATTCTGACTGGGTATCACTTATTATTTGGGTGACTCCTTCTTTGAGACAATTTGAAAATGTGTGGATTAGTTTTTTGTAATAATTGTTGTAACATTTTCTATGGTTTCTTTTAGTGTTTCAAATAAAACTACTTTGATATGTTCACAAAAATGTTTATAAAAATTTGCTGTAAGGCCATCTGCGCCATGAGAGCAATCAGAAGTCAAGCATTGTATTGTTTTATCTTGGTCCCTATATGAAATTTCTGCCTCACAGTCATTTCTGAAATCTTCATTTATTTGAGGACTAATGCTGCGTCGGGTGAGAATATAGAAGGAATATGTTTCACTGGCAATTCTCTTTGGGTCAGAACATTCATTGTCATTGATGATCAACATTGCCCTATTGTTTTTTTCTGGCTTTCTCTAATTGACAGAAAAAAGAAGAATTTCTCTTTCCTTATTCAACCCACTTGGCTTTATATCCACTGTAAGCTCCCATTGCTTTACTTGTGTAAATATCATCCAGTTTGGTTTGTAGTGTGATTGTAATTTCCTTTTGTCAGCATCAGTAATTGTGGGTTTATTGTAGCAGAGACTTATCTCTCTATTCAAATTGACCTCTCCTGCTGAAAAGATTGTTTCTGTTCTTTACTAAAGGGTATGGAAAGGTTTCATTTCAAAAATAGGCTGGCATCTTCAGAAATTTTAGTAATCTGTTAGTTGGGTATCTAAGTTTCAAATCCTTAATGAGATGATTAATTTCAGAAAGTAATTCATATTATTGGCTCCATAAATATTTCCCCAAATAAAACTGTGCTCAACTGACAGAACACATAAGATCCAGTGTCCATCCGTACATTTTTTTTGAAGTAATTAAAGTCCCAGGGAAGTTGTTCAATCGAATCGAGGTACCTACAGAGCGAATGGTTCCTTGACAAAATAAAATCGTATCACTCCAGAGGTTGGTCCAGAGCTTTTCATCAGTTTTGTTAGAATAAGTTGAATGTAGTCATTGAGGATACATTTCCATTTATTCGTCACTAGCTTGGGTGCCATGTTGTATAATAGTAGTGCTGTGTTAGCAGTAACGTTAGTCTTCGTTAAGTTAGGTTTCAGCATTACAAAACATATTTAAAAAGTTGAAATCCAGTCTTTGCACAATAACATCTTTAAAATTAATTTTGGGTTAAAAAAGAAGGATTAGTTTCAAAACTTTTGGGGTCAAACAAATGTAGCTCCTAAAGAAACAATCGCTCAGTTCGCCATTTTACCATAAGTCACCCCTGGGAAATTCTGACTTCCAACTCTGAGAGGAACTGGTCGGATTGGTCATACCAAGCAACGTCAGAGTGCAGCAGAAGAGCTACGCCTCCGCCATTTTGGACTAAAGGTGACTCAGTGGTCAGCTAGTTTGTAGGCAATCAGCTACTGTGTGCACGCAGACTGAAAGTCAACAGTTGTATTGTTTTGGAGATGTCTTAGACCAGTAGTGCATAAAAAATTGTATAAATAGTACATTTAAATTCTTCAGCTTTGAGTGGAGGAAAAGTCCACGAGCCTCTAGGCAGTTATTATTGAGCCACATTTTATACTTTTGTTAAATGTTCTTAAGCCACATTTTATGTGTTAGTGGAGTCAAGTTAAAGTCACTTTATAGCACGTAATAAGTTACAATTATTTATGTGTTGTTGTTGTTTTTTTTTTTCTTTTATGGCCAATATCAGAGAAGAAAGGAGCGGTCCTGTTTTCGTCATCACTCGCATCTTTGTCAGAGGAGGACAAAAAGAGGAGAGCAACAAAGAAAATGAATAATACTAATAATAATGATAATTAAGAAATAAATAACAGTTTAATGTAAATGTAAATGTAAACAATGGAATAAAAACTTTTTAAATTCCACCCCACAGGCCTTGTTGTTTAAGTGTAAATACAAAGTAAGAATGGGAGAACAACACTGTATGGAATAACAGTGACTATTTTATACAGCCTGCACCCATAATATTACTGTGTAACTACAGGGTAACAAGTGGAGAACTATCCATCCATCCATCCATCCATCCATCGTCAACCGCTTATCCTGCGTACAGGGTCACGGTGGGGCCGGAACCAATCCCAGCTGACACTGGGCGAAAGGCGGGGTACACCCTGGACAGGTCGCCAGTCCATCGCAGGCAAGTGGAGAACATTTAAGATTTTTTATAACTGTCTGCTTACCTTATTTGTCTTAATTCATCATAATAAAAAGAATGAAAATATATACTAGGTTCCTCTGTACGTCATTTAACATTCAAAATTAGCTTTATGTTTGATCCACCTTCATATATATGGCATTATTACATTACTGTTTTACTTGAGAAAGGTAAGTTTGTTTTCTACTGTCCCTTATTAGCTACTGCAATGCGGGATGAGCGAGGAATAGACCAGTTTCTGAACTTGTTCTTATTCCAAATTATACAATGAAGTAAAAGACATAGCATAATAAACCAATCAGATGTGCTAGAGGCGGGACACTAAACGACACTACAGAGTGGTGACTACAGACAGAGAGCTGGATATATGAGAGCCAAAGTAGCGCATTTAAACCTTTTTTTTTTGCTGATCCTAGAAATGATGAGTGATATGATCTGAACCATGAGTTTTGTGATCCTTTGCACCCTTAATGAATAGTTTTAGTAGCAGACAAAGACTCGATAGATATGACTGTAGAATTTATTTGGCTAACACATTGATGAGCTATTGGTATGGAGTGATTAAAAGCAGTATAAAAAGCATGAGAGAACATTTAAATTCTAAAAGTGAGTTTACAGTGTAGCAGAAAAACACAGCAATACAGAATACTTTATACATACATCATCAGTATTTTCATGGGGCCTGTAGTTAGTCTTAATCTCAGAATTGCTTTAAGGAATAGTCTTAAAGTTTGGTTATGAATTAAAATGCATGCAGCACAGTGAACACTGTGGTGCAAACCTTTGTGAAAATAGAACCATCAGAGGTGGTTTCATGAATTTCCCAACGTTATTT